TCTAGACTTTAGTTTATTTTGGTCAATGTATTTTTAAAACGTTTATTTTGGTCCTTATAATCGAGTTTCCATGCCCACCTTCAGGTCTGAGCATGAGAGAGTATATCAATAGTTTTTGATATTAAGTTCACTTAAAGGTTCAAACATAATAACTCGTGATAGGTGATGATACTACAAGGCCTCATGTCTAGATGTGGCAACGAAGCGGGGTGGGGACTGGGGTATCCTCATCCCCGCCCCGTTGGAGATTTTTACTCACATTCTTGTCACCGTCCCGAAAATTTAGGGACGGGAACGGGGTAGGGAATCCCCAACGGAAACCCAACTCCACCTCGACCTAACTTTATTTTTTAAATTAATTTTTTAAAGATTTATTAATACTTTATTGGACTTGAGGCATTGCTTCTTTTTAAACAAATTTAAAAAGTAAGTATAAAAATTAATAAATATTATTATTATTAATTTATTATATATAAAACTATAAATAATAATATTAAACAGGACGAGGGACCTCCCCCGTCCGTGCCGTGGGACTCGATTGGGATCCTCGATTTGACCTTGGAATCCCCGACTCGATCGGGTCGGGTACCCGTGGGGATCGGATCCCGTGTGTATTTTTTGCCATCCCTACAGTCATGCCCTTGCTATATGGTTGTTTCTTGGGGATCATTTTGGATATTTGTATTTTCAACGTTTAAAAAAGTAACTATTTTGATTCTATAAATTTAATACTCAATATAATGGAAACTCTTTAGTACAATATTTATGGCCATATTTCAAGACATTTTGTGAGTTAAGTGTCATGCTAAAGTGTGATTGAAATAAATGAGATAAAAATGAAAATGAAAAGATTAAAGTGGTCACACTTGTTTAAAATATAGAGACCAACAACTAATATGAACAAAAATTGAGAGTACGGATATCAAAATGAATAAAAACTGAAAGTAAAATACTATTTTGGTCCATGTATTTTGAAAGTGTTCATTTTGACCCATTGTACTTAAATTTTGTCTACTTTAGTACATACATTTTCAAGATGCGTTTGTTTTCATCCTGGCACTTTTAAAAAGTGACCGTCTTGATTCTTTTATTTTATTTTCTATCTCATTTTTCGATCACAATCCAACATGATATTGTATTCAATACATTTCTTAAAATATAGTGGTACCTTTATATTAATAGTTTATGTTTAGAATGTGTGTTAGAATTTTTGCAAACAAGGGATGAAAATGATTCATTTTTAAAAATATAGAGATCAAAATAAATATTTTTAAAGTATATAGATTAAAATTAATCAAAGTTAACACGAGATAATCAAAATAGATATGGTAAAAATAAAAATACTAAAATGAAACAAAGGTAAAAATGTATAAACCAAAGTAGTATTCTATTCTAAAAAAAATCCATTTTTTGACCTATTAAAAAGAAATGACTAGAGACTTGGAAAATCTAAATTGAAAAGACTTGTAATGACAAGGAAGAGAGAGAGAGAGAGAGAGAGAGAGAGAGAGAGAGTTTAGAATGAAATGATGAGGCAATTGAAAATGAGAGTAGAGAGAGAAGAAGAAAAGGAGTGAGAGTTGGAGTAATTTTTTCCTTTCTTGTTCTTTTATTTCATATTTTTAATATATAAAAATATAATTGCATTTTCTATTAAAAAAAACTTGGGTTTATTTTATTAAGAAATTCAAGCATTTCACGACTATTTGTGTTTTTTTTCTTATTTTTTAGAAATATTCTCAAAATTGTATAAAAATTTTGGAAACAATAAAAATATGTTTATTATTTCTTATATTCTTGTTTCTATTTTCTTCAAACATAAATGAAAATCGTATTTTTATCATTGTTGAATGTTTTTTTATATTAAAAATGAGTAAACAGAAACAAGAAACGAAAATGTTACCAAATAGACCATTAATTTTTTTTTCTAAATTTCTATATAATTTTAAAAACGTTTCTAAAAAATAAGAAAAAAAACATAAATAGTTTACTAATGTTTCTCAATTATAAAATAAGAAATTGAAAAGTATTTTTTCCTGTGTTCCCAAAATTACTGCCTGCTTCTACCCTACACCTAAGCTAATACACAGAGAGAGAAAGATCCGCCAGATTTTATGTTCCACACCGGGCCACGCGCCACCCCTTGAAATGTCACCATCTTTTGACCATTGCAAAATTTCTTTCCAATTTTAATAAAACTTTTTTTAATGTTTTATCATAGAAGTTTTCCATTAAAATAAAAGAAGATAATAATAATAAATTATTGGAAAAAGTAATAGTTTCTCCCGTTTGAATTTCCTTCATCAAAGAAAGTTGAATTGTCCAAATATTTCAAATTACTTTTAAGAATTTGAATTCCCTTAAATAATTCAAAAGGAGAAGATATGATGTTACTATAGATTTTTCACTTTAAAGACTCCTAATCAAAGTACCCTATAAAACGTTGTTTTTTACAATGTACTAGATCGATATTAATATTTCTATTTTACAGATTTCATTGAACCTTTTTTTAAGTACAACATATGAGGGTGTGGATAGAACTCAGAACCTCTTGATATATGTCCATTACCATTGAACTAGACTCAATTTGATTTCGTTGAACTCCTTTTATTCTATAAGAGTCGTGTAAATTTGATTATTTTGATAAGTTAAAATTAGGCATAGCATATTAATAATATATATATATATATATATTTTTGTTTTAAATTTAGATTGTGTTTAACAGATTAATGAATTTTTAAAAATATATAATAGGTTCATTAATTTTCAAAATTGTATCTTAAAAAGAAAAGCGTATAATTGGGTTGACGAACCTTATAAACCATGGGCCACGGCCCAATGGGCTTATACGTTCCGCCATTATCCTTCCTGATACACGAGTGACGTGGTCGGAATAATTCCAAAAAAAAAAAATCTCGACTTTCTATTTTTTAATGGTAAATATTTATCATAGATTTATTGTAATTTAAAAAAAAATCAATCAATTTAGCCTCTTTTTATTTACATATTTATTTTAGTTAAAAACTTTCCTTCCCAATTTTGCTACCCAGCAAAATCTAGCTTTTTATTTAAAAGAAATTTGTTATTATTTTATTAAATTATATTTTTAACCTCCCTACTAATTTTGTCACCATATTTAAGAAAATTTCATTATGGGTTATGGCATAGCAAATTATGTCTCATGCTATTCTATTTTGTTTTGGTCATGCAGGAGTCTTCTAGAGGTACCATATGAACATAGATCGAGTTATAAATCATTAATGTAGTTTAAAGATACGAAGACTTTGGAGTATCATATCAAAATTAATTAAATTAGATAAAAAAAGCTTGCCCCACTTAATTTATTTTTAGTATTTTTGAAAAATGACAAAATAAAAAACGTATACTAAATGTCAGAAAATAAAAACAACAATAAAACTTCTGAAAGCATAAGAATGAAATAGTAAGAATTCATTTTTTGGATGTACTTTTCTCTATTTTCCAACGTCATCACCGACCTACTTATATTTCCAGGAGAATATCTTCATCCCATCTCCATTTTGGAAACTTTTTTTCTCCCCCCAAAAAAAAGTGAATTTCTTTTAAGAAATGAAAGTGCAAAAAGAGGACTTTGCCCCCACATGAACATAAGCATGAATATGAAAGTGAAAATTGTTCATTATTACTGTTGTTTCTTTCTTGGTGTAAGCTTTTATATGAGAAGAAATTAAAGATGAAAGTTGAAACATATAGAAGCACTTTTTTCTTTCTCTTCTTCCTTTCAATTCAGAGCACATCATTGGATAATTTGAATATACAGCTCAAAATGGAAGCTTTTAAAAAATCAACAATTCAAACAGAAAGTCCAAAAAAAAAAAAAAACCATAAAGTTGTTAAAAAAACACACAACATCCAAAACACCTCAGACATTATTGTCTGTCCCTTTGGACAATATATATATTTGTCAAACCACAAAACAAAATCCTTGTATGTTTCTCTCTCCCTCCCATTTTTTCTTCTCTTTTTCTTTGGTTCATAAGAAAAGAAAAGAAGAAAAAAAAAGGTGACGTAGATATCTTAATCTATAAGTGAAGACGTTTGATTCAAAAAAAGAGAGAATTGAGAGAGAATAATACCATGATTAGGATTTATTGAAGGGATTGATTTGACTTATAAATATAAGTAAGAGACTAAAATACCCTTAAAAGAAATGAGCTGCAAATCACGATAAATAAAATAAATACAAATTTATAAAGCTAATTAAAATAAATGTAGTCCAATAAGGTGTGAGATCGATATTGTTTTTTTTCCTTGTCAAGTCCAAAACCTAATTCATAAAGTTTCAAAATAGATAATATTAGTATTAAAAGACACTTGTTTTGCACGAAAAATACTCGTGTGACTGAATTTTTGTATCGATTAGGAGTAAAAGCAAAAACATAACATAAATAGCAATATCTATATTTGTATAATCTTAAATCGAAAGAATATTGTATTGAAAAAAATGAACTTCTTTTTTGTCATTATTAAGAATAACAAAACTTAAGTGTTTATCCAAGAGGATCTATCGATGGATCAACCATTACATTACATGTTTAATAGCTAAAAGAAAGAAATAAGAAGAAAAATAAAACAACTGTCAACTTTTCATCGAAAGTACATACTCCTATATTTTTCTGGTCAAGAGTGGCTTTTATAGAGCCACACATATGGTGTGGGTTTGTATGTTTCTTACCACCACACAGAAAATAGAAATATGACCCAATTTTGCCCTCGTGAGGCCTTCACATGTCCATCCCATAATTCATAATTGTGCCTCAATCTCATCATTCACACCACTGTACCTCTTGTGACACTACCAAACACGAGAGAGAGAGAGACATTATTTTACTCATTTTGTGTTTCTACTTTTACCCTTTTGGTTGAAAATTAAGATTTAACGTTTCATTTCAAAGAAAAAGGAAAAAAGAAATATGTAGGAGATGGTTCTTAAAAACATATAATGCATATGGTGTTTTGGTAATTTTGTCAA